AACGGGTTGCCCTGGTAAGTGGAAACCTGGTTGCCAAAACCTGCGGTTTGCCCTTCTTAAATTTTGAGCCACTGCCAAATCACCTGCGAACGATTTTTCCAGATACGGTAATTGAGACAAGGATCATCCCTGCAGGGCGCGACCTGGAACATGGAACAGCTTTCTGATTTGTCTTTGACCACTTCAGACTTCACTACCACCCGCAAATAAAAACATATGCGTGCCCCAAACGTTATATATATATGTATATAAAAGCCTTGTTGAACGCCACGCCCATGGTACTCATTTATACTTAACCGTCGTTGGGAAAGCACACTCGCGCGTTTCTTCTAGTTGTTCGAACGCGTGCATTTTTGTTGTGCAGCGCGGATTTTGGCCACGCTCGAACGAACTCCCCCCCGCTCCTCCCCCCTCCCTGCAAAGGGGGGTGAGGGGGGAGGCAACTTGATGCGTGTAATGATTTAATGTGAATCGGTGTTTTTGTTTGCAGTACTTGCCACTTGTTCACTTGTTCTGCGCGAAAAAAGATGGATAGCAGCGTTGCACAGACTTGCACGGTCAGCTCAACCCGGAAGCTCGTTTCAATTCAGCGTTTGTTTATTGGTCTGAGCGCATCTCATATTTAAATGTTCTTAGGTCTTGGTATTTCTCCTTCCTTGCGATTCCCGACGCAATGAACATCAGAAGTCTTATGATTGGAGCAAACTAAAGTGTGACATGAGAGCGATTTATAGGTGATGAATAAATGACTAGTCGATAACACTGTAGATCGTGAGTACAATAGATTTATCGTTGGATCTGGAGAGTCTATAAACAGGACATGCCTGACAATAAGATTTCAAGGAAGGATGAGCTGACAAAGGGGCGAGTCTCTCCATTTCTTGTTACCTCTCTCCCTTTCTCATTTTGTCTTTTTCTTGGAAACAGAGGTTGGGGGATGGGAGGTAGATAGAGAAGAGAAGGGTGAGAGCGAACAGACTCACCCATTGACCATCACACGCCGTCCGTTCCTTCCCCATCCCCTCATCTCCCTGGCTGGGAGATGAAGGCCATTCTTTTCTTGCTCACCCTTTCATGCTGATTGTTTCTGTTTTCCACACCTTTGCCCCAAACCAAACGCAGCTGTATGTATGTAAAATATTGGCATATGATGGCAAATGAGATTTTACTATAGAATGCGGACGGCCAGATATTGTTCATAGTTAGCCATCTCTCCTCGCCTTTTTTTCATTTTGTGTGTCTCTGTCTTTAGAATTTCTGGTCCTACTGTGGATGGACGAAATCCATTTCGCACCGCTTTGAAACCATGGGAAACCATTGTTTGTTGGTATTTACAGGGGAATAATCATTCCAGGGTTTCTTAGGTGGTGCAGGATTTCGTCCTTCCACAGTATTTCCTACCTTTATCATTTCCAGAGCTCTATTTTCTGGTCGCAGAAGGAAGAGGATGACGGACGGTGAGAGACGAAGGAATCTATCCTTTCACCCAACCACCATCCTCATGCTGTAGGCGAAAGACCCGCGCGCATAAAACCTAATTAAACGGTGATCATGAAAAAAGTTAAACATCCTCTGTCAACAGGAAGCAGAAATGACAGCACAATGTAACCACAATGACCGACTTTGGGATGTGAATGAAAGTGGAGTTCATCTTCTTCCTGCCCCTTACCTTTCTATCATGGATGAGGGAAGAGGGTAGAAATGAGATAATAGAATGAACACAGAGTGAAGAGATGGGAGATAGAAGAGTAACGGCGAGGCTCTTCCCTCTCTCTCCATCATACCACATCCATTAGAACTTTAGGATGTGGACAGTGGTTGAGATTAGATAGCAAACTCAGAAAAATATTAACAACTGTCCAAGAAAAACGCTTCCACCCAATATGAAAAGAGAACGGTAGTGATGGAAACAGTGAGTGAATGGGAGCTCATCTCCCCTCTCCACCCTTTCCCATCGTATCCGCGATTCCAAAATGGAGAAGAGGATAATGATTATATTTTTTAGACAATAGCACAAACAAGACTACACACAGGAACATCCACAAGACACGCGGCCGGGCCGGCGGATTATATGGTCCATTTAAGGTAGTACGTACTAACCAGTTCTACAAGGGTCTATATAAGTTCCCCGGAACAAACCAACTCAACACTAAGCCAATACTCAACCAGTACTAATCCAATCCTGCACAGAGAGGACCGACCGAAAAGAACTCAAGAGGACCAATACTAAACGAGTACCAAGCAGTTCTAAGCAGAAAACTACAAGAAGACTAAACCAATGCTAAACCATGACTGAAAGTACTCGACAAGATCTGAAGGTTCTTCCGGTTTTCTCAATCCAAATTGTGAGGTGGGGTCCTCTATTGGATGTGTTGGGGTGATGCACATGAAAAGCTCGGGCACGGCACGATGCGCCGTGGCGGGGCGCCTGAGGTTCCCTTGCGAATGAATGTGAATGCCACACCATTCTGGAACTTGTGTGTCACTTGCAAAGCCGAGTTTCGAATTTCACCTTAAGTCTTCAAAATCAGCCCCAGCGCTTCCAATTGCCACACTTTCTTCGCTCAAGGCTTTACATGACGGATTCCGTGATTCCCGTGGATATTTTTGCTATATTGGGAACTGGAAGTGCTGGAGCTGATGTCCAATGATTTCAACGCAGAGACACGGCTTGTCCTTCAGCTGTTCGTATGCTGACACTTGAGAATGCTTCCTTTCCCAGCCAGCTCGTGCATTTAAAGCAGGGTTGTGGAAATGCTCGGCACTGCCAAATACACTTTGGTGAAAGTAGATGAAGCCATTTCTGTCATCTTGGTCATCCCTGTTCCTCACAAATATTTTGTGTTTTTCATGTATTCTCACGGGTGTACCAATGGAAACATCTTCTGGTGTGCTCGTGAGAACCAACTTCTTCCCACACCCTTGGCCAAATGTCCGATTTCGTTTCGAGCACGGTGACAGCACAGAGTCGCCAGATTTTGCACGATTTTCTCTTTAAGGAGCTGCGTGACGCTCGTCAATGACCTTGTGCTCATTCTCTGAGCTAGACTTGAACGACTACTGGCCTCATATTTTACCATGATCAAAGTCAGCCCCTATGTGATGGGTTAAAGGGAAACCCCATTTTCTGACTTTGACAACCCCTAGAAACCATCAAAATAATGACTCCAGGACTTTCCCAGAGGGTTTGTTGGTACCTCATGCTTCCAGGGGGTAACAAGGGGTCTAAGTAATATTTGTTTTAGAAGGTACTTGGACCCTCTGGGTTTAGCGGCGAACAATTAGTTTTTTTTAAATCTTTGTTTTGAACCACTCAGAAAGTGAGTCGTGTCATGCTTCAGTGCAAGATGGGCCACGCGCTTGACAAATCTTTCGGACATGGGGGTGTCCATGTTTCAGGACCTGAGAGAAGCCGAATGGGAGTCAGCCATGGTTTAGGGGTCGCCGAGTTTGGGACACCCCACCCCCCCAGAATCATGCAGCGGCGATCGTAAGGATTTTTCCTGCATATGCAAGCATTCCTGGCATTTCCATAGTGAGGAGAAAAGAAGTGCGGCATCAATGGACCGGGTTGCTAAACCAACCTCATGAGTCCAGCGTAAAACGTAATTAGACCTCCCCTTCATTACATGATTTTCCTGGCAAAAATAGTTGGTACCGAGACCGCAGTGGATATGTGGTGTCACCCCTTTGTGACGTTTGAAAAAAATCCGCCAAACCACGTTCCGGGCCCTAGTTGGAGGCAAATGTGAAGTGAGTTCCAACGATTTGAAGACCCAGGGAAATCCAACCCCATGAGTCCAAAGTAGACCCCCCCCTTCATTACCGGGTCGCTTTAATTACTTTCCTGGCGCAAATCTGTGGTTTTCCCCACCTTTTGAGACCAAACCCCAATGCTCGAAGCTCCGCATGTGGGGAGCAAGCCGGAGTCGTGACGTGTGACGCATGGTAACTCGAATGGCTTTCCAGCGTGGGAGACCGGGTTCCATCTTCCAGGAGTCCCAAGATTTCCATCTTTCTGGCGGTTTTAAACATCACCTTGGCCCATGAAAGGTGAGTGTCCCTTGGTGGGGGTGATGTTTTAAGGGGAAATATAGGGAGCCGTGTCTTTGGAATCGCAGATGCAAGCTGCGAACATGCTTCGGTTCTGGCGCGCAACGCTTATATTTCTGTATCCAAACGTTGACTATTCCGAGCCGAGCTCCCAACAGCGGCATTGTTTAAATGGGCAGTACTCTTGAATTTGAGTAGTGGCTGGGTCAATCAGACCAACTTTTTTTAAAGGTGTCTGGTACCCTGTCGCAGTTGCTATGTTAGTTGGAGAGAGGGCAGTCTATTGTTGAGTTGGGAAGGACATTGCGGGCCAGCCACGTATTCTTCTAGGGCTACCTTCCCATTCTTTCCAGGGATCCTTCTTTCTAGAAAACCCCCGGAAACCCAGGGAAACGGCCGGTTTTTGAAAAGAACGATGGTTGAAAAGAATGTGTTTTGTTTTTCTCTTCCGCAAAATCGGGGGTTTCTAGTTCACCCAGTCTTCCCCGACAACTTTTTTATGTGGGGCTGCAAATTTAGATCCATCGCCTAGGGAACCCGCCAGTCCCTTTCGCTATTGGATTTCTGTTGTCAACTGGTCTTCTGATAGTATTGGAGTTTCCTCCCAAGCTATTTCTTTCATAGATTTGGTAGACTAAATGTCGGACAACATCAGCAAAATCCAGATTGCGGCACAAGCGACCCTGTTCTTTTCAGGCCAGTTGGGTTGCGGGAGCCAGGCTGTCTTGCCATACCATTCCCCCAGTACCTTTGTCACCCTTTGTTGGGGGAGGGTGCCCCTAGTAAGATAGACTACAGAAAAGAAGAAGAAAAAAGACAGAAAAACGGGTACCCTTATTCTAACCTCTCCACTGGAGGACCTAGGTTAGGTTCTATCATTGTAGCTGGAAGCGGGTTAGTTTACCCACCCGGCATGGATCCTACCGTAGCTCTGCAGCTGATGCCAGGATGACTCTGACAGCAGCAGCGACGACGTCCTTGCTTGAGCGGGGATGGGGTAGCGTCATGGCGATTCGGTTGCATGCTATTGCAATTCAATACTTCCATTGGCTTAATTTGTGTTATTTTCCCCTATTGGTTTTAAGGGGAATCTATCACTGCTGAAAATATGTGCATTTTTCCTGGGGACTTCAGCAAATGGAGGAATGGCCCTATCATTTTTATGTTGCCCAAAATGAAACCAAAGGGGAATGGTGCACGTTGTCTGTTCCACAGGTCAAGACAAGGAGGGTCTGAATGTCGATGTCCGATTTGCTCTTTGCGGGTAGGTTTGAGATTAGCATTGCGACATCAAGTGGCCTTTGCTCTCCAATTGGGCTGTCTCAAGTCTCAGGAAGGCTCGTCCCTACCCCCACTCCAAATCACCTATGCAAAAAAAAAGGAAAGAAGAGAAAACAAACACCACAACAAGGGAAACCAACCACCAAAGAGGGCAGCCGCAGCAGGACAAACCACAAAAGGGGGCCTTGATAAATTTGACAAACACAAATCTAGGGTCTCCAAACACAGGACAACTGCTGTGCTCTGGTTTCAGAATGTGGACAATATCACCTGCGCCTTATCTTGACCAACTTCATCGCAGGTTTGCTTGACGCGCTAGAGAAGCACAGCTCTTGCCATTGATGTCCTGCTGACAGAACTGTTTTGATGTAAAAGAGTAGGAGTGTTGCTTGTAGTTTATGTTGTCTTTTCGCATGCTGTTTATCTTTAAGATAAACCATGTGATAGTTCCATTCAACACCTACGCATCACTTTGCCCTTGTAGTCAGCCAGGTTTTGGGCAATCTTTGCGTTTGTCATGAGCAACATGTATATATATATATATATGTATAGATACATATCACAATATGCGCACACACCAGCAAGAAGACATTACATAGCAACAGACAGGAGCTAGGTTGTTCTCAGTAGACTCGAACGACGGAAACCGGCCTGGCGCTTGACAGTTCGCCACGTGTGAGCAGCTCGAGCACGAAAGCTGTGCTTGTCTTGATCTGCGACAAGGGCAGCTCAAGGTAGACTTCATGCAGCCGAAAATGGCGCATGAGAATACGCTGGTCCAAAGGCGAGTCCCACGAAGCAAAATGCATGGGCAAATCCCAAAATAATAGTGATTTGCTAATGGCTTCGCAATGATATCAAGAGGTTGGACGTGTTTGAGGAAGCAGCTTTCATGGACAAATCAATAGAGCCAGACCGGCCGCGCATAGGTGGCAGCCGTCCAGTAGGTAGGATCGAATGCCTCCAGCGGTCGATGAACAAGCTCCGATGATTGGCTTACTTGCCCAAGCGAATCGACCTTTTGACTGTTGACCTTTTGGTTTCCCCATTTTGGTTCATTTTTAGTCAAGGTCCCAAAATGTTGTCTTCTTCTGAGGGGCCATGACTGGCACGGAGTGGTACAAGTGCGTCAACGTCGGATTGATCAGATGTTGAGATTCTTCGGTGACTCCTTCCGTGGCGCAGTGCATGTGACTCTTGGACGCTCTATGATTACATTGCCACTCGACGGTGTGCGAAATTCCGTATTGTGTTGAGGCCGAGTGCATTGGCGTCTGGAGGTGTCGGAGTTTCTGCAAAGCAGAACTGTGGCTCCTCTCTGCCGATCCCAAAGTTGAGCTTTGTCAAATCCCAGTTCTTGGTGTTTCGCCGCAGGTTACGGTTACCAGGGTGTCTTACCAGGTTTCTCCTGAGCTATTTGCCATGTGGTTGCTCTCCCGGCGACGTTTGCCTGGAATCAATGGGCGCACAGCCCATAGGCGGATGGTTTGGGCATCATTTGCCAGGAGTTGCCGTGGAAGCGTGCGTGCGCACCCGAAAAAGAGAGAGCCGTATACGGTCGAATGGAATCGGTATTGGGTGGGTCAACAAGTTTATTGTGGTAATGCTCATTCTCATAGGTGTGATTTGGAGTTTTGGGTCAGAAGAGTGAACTATATATCCCTGGGCTTCAAACCACGATTCAAACAATGGGGGCTCATATAACCACCGTTGTTCACCTAAGGATTGTCATCATCCATATTGGGTCAACCATTATTTTAATGCGGTTCAACCCTAGGCATATGTTTCTGTCTGAACTTTTGTCAGGTGTGTAGCTTTTCGTTGCTTCGATCTACGCCCAAAGCCCCCAACGCTGCGATGGGGCTATGGTGCCCTGGTTGCGGGACCTCGAACTGAACCGAACTCTTTTTTTTGGGTTGATTGAAGCGACTTCCAATGTTCTAGGGATACCTTCCCCATTCTCTCCAGGGATGCTTCTTTCTAGAAAGCTTCCGGGGAAAAAAAAGAAGAACAAGAAGAAGAAAAACAAACGTGTTTCGAACGTTTTGTTCACGGAAGCATCCTTGAGACAAACGTCCGGTTTCCGGTTCCGATCAGCGCCGGCTGCATGCAATCCCACGCAGGGCCGCATCGTGTGCCTGAATCCGGCATGCTGCATGGCTGCACGCCATGCTTTGGCCACATAGCTTCTACTTGGGATCTCCGTGGTTTTAACGGGAACCACAAGGGATTCCCCCCCCTGGGTCGTCCTCTAAAAACAGACACAGCCAACAGCATGTTATATTTCAGGATCGACGGACTACTTTGAATATCGTACTTGTTGGCACACTCCATTGCGCCAAGTACCCACAGACACCCTTATAGCTTATAATGAGCTTAGGGGAAGAGTGTGCATTTATGGAGAAGGTCCCTCTCCTCGCCATCTCAACCTTATGTTTGGTTTCATTGGTTGCTCTTCAGCTAGGAAGAAGACAAGCTGTACATATATATATATATATAAGGAAATGTGTGTTTGTGTTTGTGTTTTGTTTACCGGACTCATCCCTTTAACACTTGAAACCTAGCAAAAAGGGGCACCTTCAAAAGAGACACGCACATATCTATCCATATCACAACATATTGAAGGTGTTCGAGCATTTGGCCAGACCCGACAGCGCAATTTGCCAAGAGCAAGGTTCAGGGTAAATTATCAAAAGTGCCAGGTCATTTCTATCTACACATATATATATATGTATAAATAGTTGTATATATATATATATTACGTATATCATATATATATATATGTACATTTATAGATACACCTATTGTTCATTAGTTTTACAATTTGGTACAGGGTATGTTGTGTACAGACTCTCCGCTTGAAAAGCGCAAAGGGCAGGGCAGCTCCGTCCCTTTGATTTTTGGTGGGTTTGCAATATCAAGAGGAAGCTCTCATGCCACTTCGGGTTAGTACAATGGTCAAACTTTCCTCTCCGTGGGCGATTGATCCATCTTCCCCAGAATTAGCTTTTGCCTTTTTTGGGTCCCTTTGTTTTCCACTCACCAGGCAAAAAAGGTAATTTTTTGCTGGGGTCCTTTTTCCAGCCTAGCCATGTGGATCTATACGGGGTGCCTCTGGAGTACAATGAATGCAGTGCACGGCAAGGGTGCACCCGGCGGACTAACTTGCTCGCGCAAGGTGAGTCGACCGTCATGGTTCCACAAGGTTTGCCTATTCATCGTTTAGTTTGGCTAACAGTTGGATCCCACTGGTTTAGATTGGGTTTCCCTTGCCAGGGAAACCATCTATTTCTTCCAAAAGGTCACCTATAATCCTGGTATTTCCGGGTTGTTGGAGCAAATGAGCCAAGGATGGAGCCTCTCGAGTGAGAGATGCGGCAACCGACGCACCGAGCTGCCGGAACTGCTCGCCAGCTTCGCCCGGCAGCCTTAGGCGCTGAGAACACACACGAAACCTGTTTCCCGTTGCACTTGTCCCGACTCCAACCGACCCATTTCTCAGCTCCAACCGAATTTAGGTCTCCAACAAAATCACAACCTTGAAATTCCTTTGGGGTCACCCCCTTTTGCCACATCCTTCACGCTTCTTGGCAGTTGTTGTGTTTTTTGGTTCTGATCATTTTTAGTAAGGGCTGCAAACATATACTGTTTTTCAGCCATACCAAGGGTTGTGATTTTGTTTGAGGCCCAAGGTCGGTGGGAGCTGAGAAACGGGTCGAGAGTCAGGACAAGTGCGACAGGAATTGAGTTAAAGGCGTTAAAGGGCGGTGAATTGCCAAGCGTTTGGAGGGTACCTTGTCGTGGCTTTCCGAGTTGTGGATTCAGGTAAGCGATGTCCCGTGTTTCGGTTTTTGGGTGTGGGAGAGTGGGTGTTCAAGCATCATACTACTATTTAATGGGGGTATCAAGCTGCGACCGAAAGGAGGAGGGCAGCAATTGCAAGACCAGCCTGGTCAGCGTACAGCAAGCTACAAGGGGGAGATACAGCCTTCTCCATGAAGGTTCCAGAATGTACCAAAGTAGAGCCGAGCGGATCGAATGTGTTCTGGTGGCTGGAAAGAATCAATTGACCATCCGGGTGTGTCTTTTTTGGGGTACCGTTGAACTGGGTTTTAAAGGGAAACCAACAGGAACCGTTCTCCTACAAAAGGCACACCCATCTAGTTGCTGTTTCACGGGCTGTGGGAACCACATCGCCCCAGTCTCACAACTCAGCCAAAGAGGCTGTGCGAGTTTCATATGGGGCACCGCTCCTATAGGCGGCGTGCAACTGTATCCATCCTAAGCCGCAAATTCTGGAAACCCAACTCCAACAACACACACACACACACTCAAAAGCACTCTGTACCCCACATCTTTTTGCGGGTTGTGTTCATCCGCGCCATGTGCTTCTGGTCGTGGAGGATTCGCTCTCTTGCAGAAAAGGCTTCGCTATGTGAACGCAGCCCGCATGGCTGCTTTGCCATCAAGTCATAGTCACAAGGAGTTGCACTCCGACTGGGCTTCTATCGTCTTGGTTTATACGTTGAGTCATTGAAAGTTAGATCTTCTCCCCTCTGACAACTTGGATGTTCAACCAACGTCAGGTCACCATGGCAACTTGGGTAACTGATCGTCCCCTGATCCACTTTTATATATAAGCTACTTACCTGACGTTGGTTGAACATCCAAGTAAGTCTGCGGAGAAAGGCAGCTGCAACAACCTGCAGTCTTGCGGGAAGCCCTTTGGGCGCCTTTTCTGGGTCGTGGATTTTGAACGGAAAGCCCGCCCCAAGACAGGCTTTGAGTCGGCTTGATTGAAAGGGACTCCCGCCGATTTTTTTTGTTGGCAGCAAAGTCCGTGAGCCTTCCCCCTACATGTTCCCTTGAGTACGAGGGAAATGAGGGGGCAGTGATCCGAGCTCTCAGTTGGGGGCCAGGCGCACTGAGAATTTGCGAGGTCCTTTGTTGCCCCAAGCAGTCTTAGTTCTGTTGAAATGCAAAGCTCAACAAAGCTAAACCTGGGCCAGGGATCAAGGCAGAACAGCTGGGTTCCAGCATCATCAAATGTCCCTTTGTGGTGTCTGGGATCAGCGTGTTGCTTTGAAATGCGATCCAGTGTTTTGGAAGGATGTGGGGTATGCAGTTTGAGTGTTGCCATTGTGGCTTGTTTCTGTTGGTGTGTCCCTAACCAGTACAACTCTCACTCACGGGGTCGGCCTTCCCCGAATTTCAACACCCTCAAAGAAAAAAACGCTCCACAATACTGTTCAACTGGTATGCCCTTTGAACTCCTAGGGACTTGACATGGCAACCGTTTTGGGGCACTCTCCATCGTGGGCATAAAGATTGTTTGGCCATTTACTTTTGGAGGCGCAGGGCTGGGGCGCGGTTTTGGGATATGCTGGTTGGTAGGTGAATTCACCAAGTATTTTAGAACCTATTTTTTAGGGGTTGGATTGAATCGGATGTTTACTGGGAGTTCGGAATTTTGGATTTTGAAAAGCCCATGGCCACATGACGACAGCGGGTTTCATGTGCGAGGGATCCCACAATTAGACTTCAGGACTTCGATCGGCATTTCCGATCGGGAAAACGATGCCCTGCACCAGCCGGCTCCGGGCGACAACTTTCGCGATTTTCACGTCGCTGTCTGGCAGGCGCGGAAGGAGAAGCAACGGTTGAGGCTTTCAGCTTCTTAAAAAGGGCTCCACTGCCCGAGAAGTTGTTTTTCGATGTTTGCATGACATGTGTGTAATCCCTGGGTTCAAACCACCATCAAAACAATGGTTGGGTTCATACAACCACCATTGTTTGCCTAAGGATTGTCATCCAAAGTGGGTTTCAAGGCCATTCTTCCAATGGGGCAAGTTGAGCTCTGGGGTAAATTTTCGAGTTTCATGGTTTTCCCCTAAAAAGGGGCTTTGCAGTGATATTTGTTGCCGTTATCACTTGGCATGTTGTGACACTTGGTGCGTAAGGGAATGGGAAGCTGGACAATGAACATTATTGAGTGATTTTTGTTTTGGGGGGAGGCTTGTGCCATGCCTAAACATGGGTTGACTGTGAGGTTGCCAACAGCGGATGTGTCCTAAATGAGGCAAGCCCTTTTTGGGAACGACAGGGCATTCCCAAGTTTGGGAAATCAAGATATTGGCTGGGGGGAGGGTGTTCCCGAATCTAAGAGACACCCAGTTTACACGCGTTTCAGCCGTGAAAATGCTTACTGCCCTGGACACAGAAACAGGGAGTCGCTTTGCTTTTCTCAATTTAGGGATCCGACATGGGCCGCTCTGGTCTCATGTGACCACCTTTTGGTCTCGCGCACAGAGTTTCGGACTTCAGGTTTTGCGGAAGACCATTTTAGTGGCTTGGACAACAAGTTCGGGTAACTATGTGGGCCCATCCACTCAACTGAGTGCTTGCTACAGCTTTTGCTCCCACTAACGGAAGGCACCTCTGAGAGGCTACGTGGAAGATCAGGTTTTTTTTCTAAGGGATACGGTCCCTGTCAATTGCCACGGCAATGTGGGAAGGGTAAAAGCAAACTTTGGTGGCTCGCCATCCCCTTCGTTTGTTAGGTTGATGGGTTTCGTGGTTGGGTTTCGGTTGAGCCACCAAAAGTGAGTCACTTTCAGCGGGGGATCAGTTTGGAACGCCCAAGAAACCTAGCCACCTCTTCGGAGGTCCCGAAATGTCCCGGTCAAACCGTCATGAAAACACTGGTCGGGTTCAGACAACCACCATGGTTTGCCTAAGAGTTGTCAAGCATCCAGGTGCTTTACCACCCAGTTTTTACAACCACCACCATTGTCAAACACTGGTTGGGTTCATTTTTCGCCACCATTGTTTACCTAAGGGCTGTCATCATCCAAATTGGGTCGTTCTCGCCCTTTCTCGCCCTTTTTTGGGGGAGGCTTCCCCTACTAAAATAGGCTAAAACCGGAAAGAAGGAAAAAGCGGTACCAACTTATTCTAACCTCTCTACTGGACCTAGGTGTTGACCCCAGATGAATCAACCCCAGATGAGATGGGGGGGTGCGTCCAAGACTCAGCACATAGGTCATGGCCGCCCCTCTGGCGCTGGATGTGGTCCGGACGCCATCTTTCGCTCGAGCGAACGGAGCCGAGGTCGAGGTTTGAAGGTTCGGGGTTTACCCCCCCCGACTAACATGGGTTCACAGACCCCTGGAGAAAGACGACTTGCCTTTGGGAAATGGGGTTTGTGCACTTCCGTGTTAGTTGGTGGGAGGGTAGTGGTTTCAGATCACTTTTGGAGGGGAACAGCCCCATACTTAAAAACGGGGGTTGATTCATTTGGGGTCAACATTACCCAGTCAGGTAGCTGATCTCACGATGGTTAAAACTCGGGGCAACTGGGGCGAGCGCCCCCCAACCAGGGCCAAACCTGAAGAGCCACATGGCTCTCTTTTGGCTGTCCTTGGCGTGGGCGGTTCTTGGAGGAGGATAGTCAGGAGATGCAAGGCATGGTGGCTCCGGTGGGGGTTGGCGATATCCTGGAGAACGACGACGGCAGTGACCTCGAGCTGGGCGAGGACGGAGATCCAAGCCTTCTGCCCAAGGAGGAACAGGTCTTTGAGGGAGATCCAAGCCTTCTGCCCAAGGAGGAACAGGTCTTTGAGGACTACGTTCCGGGCTTTGAGGAAGACAATGCAATTCTTCGGGGGAAGAAGGGGGTGTCCTGTTGATTTGGTTTAAAATAATTAGATGGGTTCCACTGGTTTAGGTTGGCTTCCTGCCCCCCCCCCATTTTACCAGGGCCATCAATTCACCAATGTGCCCAGTGATTCCATCTCCCTGGTATTGTAGGCAACGCAGGCAAGGATACACAGCGGTAAGAGTGCACTGAATCACACTATACTGTTTATCGCCCTATGGCAATTACTTGGTTTGGTTTCGGGTTGGGTTAGGGGCGGTCTGATTGTTTGGTTTAGGGTTAGGGTTGGCTTAGGGCTGTTTTAGGGGTTAGTTCATGGTGTAGGTTGGTCTTGGGCTGGTTTAGGTGGGTTTAGCAAGTTGGCGTAGTGCGGATAAGTTTGGGGCTTATTTGAGCTTGTTCCTGGTTTAGGTGGATGAGTAAGGTTGGTTTAGGTGCTTCTAGGGTTAGTTTAGGATGGGTTAGGGTGTAATTGAGGCTGCTTTAGGATTGCTTTTGGTGGGTTAACAAGCTTGGGTCGAGGCGGTTGCTTTGATGATTTGTGTGTGGTTTTGCGTTTAGAGGGGTATGAGGTTAGTTGGCTCGTCTTGGGTCCTGGGGGCAGTTTCTTGGACATGCCTTGAGAGGGCACCACAGGGCAACCCATGCGAAAAGTTGGGCGGGGGAGGCAACCATAGCACCTCTAGGCACCTGGAAGATCAATGTCTGACACCCTGTCTGGTAGGGGCCAAACAAGGGAGACCGAAAAAAACGGTGTGTGTGTGTGTGTGTGTTTGTGTGCGTGCGTGTTTCCTCGCGGTTTCCCTCTCAACCCACCCAATGGGCCCCAACTTCCGTGATGCGCCGCAGCTCTTCGGCTTAATCCGCGCACTCGTCCTTGAAGTCCGAAGCCGACGCCATTGGCCCGATTTCAGGCAGGTCCAACCAAACCAGTTGCCAACCCCAAATGGGTTGCCCTCGTGAATGGAACATGCGGTTCTCTTGTTGGTTTGATTTTGGCCCCTAATTACCCAAATAGCTGAATCAACTTGCGGACTCCGTTCCAAAAAGAACGAAACAGGTTGAGTTTCTGAAAGGAAAACAAAGGGTTGAGAACTTGTAATTTAATGCGGGCCCCGCATAGTTTGCACACGGTCCAAAATCTTTGCTCGCTGATTCTTCGCGTGGCATCGTGTGTTGGGCTTTTGTTGGCAAATCGGGGTTGGTAACGCTTTGTGCTTGATTGCAAGTCATCGTTTCCTGTGGCTACGCGCATATGCTAAACTTGGACTCACGCTGAAATGTGCTGCCAGGCGGGCAGAGTGGGCAGAGGATGGTTTGACCATGCTTCCATTGTAATGTTGCCCACATTCGTCAACCCCAGTTCATTAAAAGGGGGTGTCCTCGGGTTTGGTGGGGACTCATTTCAGGGAAACAGCCCCTACTGCATTAGCAAACTGAGGTTGGTTAAACAGGGGTGAACATATTTCGCTCTGAGGCTTTTTCTCGTGTGGCCTTTGTGATTGTGCGCAAAGAGTTTTGCTGGTATTGACAATTCACATCCATGGGTGCCTCAGAGCGCACCTGTCTGGCCAATGCAACAGGAAGTACTTGCAGATGTAGATCGCCCTGAGAAGAGACACCAAAATCTGGGCAAGGAAAATAGAGAACTGCAGAACGGATTTGTGTTTGGGACCGCGCCCATGAAGCGGCTTCCATTCCAAATACGGGTTGATCAGTATTCCCTTCGAAGCCAAAATGACAATGTGTAACTTTTCCCATGTGGTGAATTTTCCTTGTGCTTTCCCCAGTGGTCACCCCGTGTAAAGGACCTTTTGATCAGGTTGGTGAATCATCATATTTAGCTCGGATCATTCAAGCGACGCCAGGCTTTTGCATGGTATTCTCCCGGATTGGCTGGCGTGAGTCCCAAGATGAGCATTGGTGAGACTCAGACTCCGCCCTGTTTTCAGACGTCGCACACATCAGATGTTACGTGATCCTGCGTCCTACTCTGACGATCGGAGGGTCTTGGAAGACAACTACCACTACCACGACCACTAGTATTACTACTATTATTATTACTACTACTACCACGACTTGCTACTTCTTCTTTTTCCGCTTCTTCTCCTATTCTTCTGGGCACTCCTGCTTCGGAACTGGCAGGATGGGGGCCGTGTGCGGCGCGCCAGCCGTGGATGCCATGGAGGCAGCGGATCCCGGAGCTGCTCGGCGTGGATTTGCCGAGTGCGTTTTTTCTCGGTGTGGCCCCCCCGGCCGTCTTTTTGGCTTTGTAGCTTCTGGTTTTTGGTGGGGGTTTTCATTTAACACGTTTGGCTTTTTTGTGTTTGGATTTTGAGCTTTTTAGCTTTTTAGCTGTTTGGTGTTCTGTGGCTGGCTGGGGAGATTGCGCCAGATTTTGCTGGCGAGTTAATTCGAGAGTTGTGCATTGGCTGCGTCAGACAGACTCGTCGCGACTGGAAAGATGGTGTTGAGTGGGGATTTCCACTTAAACACACTAGGAGTTAAACAGGGGATGAGGACAGCCCAGATTGAGATACGTTTTGTTGTTGATTTGGAGGTTCACGAAATATGCACCAGAATCAGACAATCATTATACGCCCCTCTCCCCCCCACCCAAGAAAAATGAATGATTGCACGGCGGGGATGCGCAGGCAGTAAGTAATTGTTGATGAAATAGGTCCCACCCACACGATGTCGTGTTTTCTCTGGGCTTACCCCGCAAAATGCATGTGTGGTTTCTGACAAGAATCAAACTAATCTTTGTTTCTTGGGGTCGAAAGTCGTAGTATTGTTCCACCATGTTCCAACCACCCCCCTCTGTCCCAGTTTTCCCCATGCTTACCGTCTCTTCCTGAGACATTCCGGCGGCATGTGATGAACCATTGCGTTGAACAGAAAGCGCGTGCGCCCAAGCTTCTGATGGACGCATTAGCCTGGTGGTTGTCAAACACCTACTTACGCAGAGGGGCGTAAGGAGGGAATATTTGTGAGAATAGTATATATATATATATATGTATATGTAGATGCACACCGTGAATTGTGTCCTTTGTTTGTTAGGACACGTGAACTGGTAAGCAGGTTGAAGATGGATATCTTCGAAGGATTTTCCGCCCTAATCAACAATGCCTTTGGGTAGGCTTTCTCGCTTTTGACTCCCGGCAAGGCCATGGTTGTAACACGTGAGGAGTTCAAAATGAATCGCCGTCAAATTGACAAAGTACCAGGAGTCTCCGTCTGACCCTTCAAACAACATTTGGGGGCCGTCCGTAATCGCATGTCTAAAATTTATGAACAGCGGCAACTTGTTGAACCGCGCGATTGGGAAAACTCGAGCCGCGAAAGGCTTGCGATTGGACCGCGAAAGGGCAACGCAATTATTGTGAGTTTAGACGCTGCATGGTGTTTAGATTGTGCTGCCGACGCACGTCTCGCCCATTTTGATTGCACGGGCTCGGGCGAAAGTTCCTCCTGGAAAGCTGTATGTTGATTTCGCCTGCGCAGACCCAGGCTGTGCTGTCTAAATCTGTTTGCTGGCAAAGGCTGGAAGCTGCAAACCAAAGTTTCGCTGCCGAATTCCGCGATTGGACAGCGGTTGGATTGGACGAATTTCACCCGTGAGGCCCTGGCCATCCGAGCTATGTCAGTTCTGGATTTCTGGACGGAGGAAAGCCAGCGCTTGACAGCGAAAAGCGAACAGAAACAGCAGCGATGACCAACGTTGCTCCGTGATTGGAATCTGTGGGACCGCGAACGATTGCATCGCGATTGGCCGGCGATTGGGGGTCCCCAGGCAAAGTATTTTTGTACAACCCTGACCCCTTCCTTTAGGGAAATCCCTCGTTTGTCAGGAGTCAGGTAGTCATGGGTATGAGAATCAACCACTTCGGTATCACCGAAGAAGGTACTTTCCACCTCCAAGGCCGTGTCTGGCATGCCCTTCCGGAGCGCGCTCTTGGACAACATCATGCCGGGCACTTAAGATCCAACTTAGAGGATTCCATCCTCGTGGGTTTGCGTCTCTTGTTTGTTTTTCTCGAGGGTAGCCTTTTTGGGGGTGTCTTAAAGGGAAACACCAGGAACTCCATCTTTGGGGATCCCCATTCTTTGACACATGCCCATGTGTTATTTGTGTTTGTTGTGTGTTTCTTCGCCTTACAAACCTGGCAGAAAAGAACACCTACCAAACCCAAAGCCAAAAGCCAACTCCAAACCCAAAACCCACAAGTCGGATTCTTCCCATGGCTGGGCAAGTAAGAAAAAGGCAGCAACTTTGGCCTCGGGCATTTTGAAAGCGCTGCCTTTGAAGGGGGACCAAATTTGGACCAGTTTGGTGTGCAGATCCTTGCATAGATCAGGCTGTCCCAGCAATCCGGGCGCGACCAGCCAAGCCGGTGTAGGTCTTGTTTTTTTGTGCCCCCCTTTTTGGTTTTTCAAGGGAAACGCGAAGGGAAGCAGAAACCATTTTTGGCGCTTCGCTGGAAAAAAGAAAAAACGACGAGCGGTGCGCTTGTGGTTTCTGAGGCTGCTGAGCGATTCGTACAAGACCTCCCACTGGCGGCAGTACCCGCCCAACACCACGGAGGTCTACTCGCGCCCGTGGCGGAGTTTTTTTTGTTTTCACCTCCGCCGGGCTGGACACGTTTAGCTTGCTGCCAAGCATCCCCCGGGCCTCCCCCCTCACTCCCCCCCCCCGTTTCTCCCCTTCCTCCACCATCAAGCCAGGAACCTCGTAGTCCATTCCCCAAGAGGAAATTCAAACGGATGTCCATTCAACATCCAGACCCCTTGCAGCTCCCTTGAAAGGAGAATTAACATTTTGCTTGAAGCACAGCGGAGGTTGAACCAAAACCAGTTCCGGCTCGTCTCATCAGAGGCTTCACCGGGGAAAAGCGTTTGATCAGATCGTACCTATCCCCAAAAGAGTCACTTGCTCAAAACCTGGGTAATTGGAGGATAGTAAGGGATAATCCCAGCCACAAATGGGTGCGGCCGCCTGTTTAATTCCTTACATGCTTCTGGGTAGACCACTTGAATACCAGGGTTTGATTAACTTGTACTGAAATGGTGGTACCGTGGATGGACGGAGTCCATTTTGCACCAGGTTGAAACCATGGTTGAAACTAATGTTTGTTGGCACTTACAGGACAATCATCAGAAACCAGGTGCGAAATGGATTACCATCCACAGTAGGGAGTAGGGAGCCTCTTTGACTGCTGATCCTCAGCAATTCGATGCATTCCAAACGCATTCTGCCTTAGCAACAGTCACTTTTCACTTACTTCACCCGGACGTCGCCATCGACTGAGGTACTTCGAGTCGAGGGGCGGCAAGTTCGATGAGATCTGCTTCTTCGGACTGCAGTACTTCATGAAGCGATACCTCCAGGGTCAGGCGCCTCGAAGTTGGAGACGCGAAAGCTGAGGTGCCTGAAGTCTGAAATTCTGACGGCTGCAGATATGGATTATATGTGTATATATATATATATATATGTAAACACGTTTATATGAATATATGAATATACGCAAAATTAGGGGTGAACCCATTTTCCAAGCATCTTCGTACACAGGAGTATACCAAAAATTGCGATCGGACCCCATTTTCTAAGCGTCGAGGGCTTCGAGAGAGGGTCCTGAAACACTCACAAACTTAGGGGTTTCCCTTGGTGGGCAAACCGTTTTTTTTTTAGATTTTCCAGGGGTGTCGAGACATATGCCACCTGAGTCAGTCAGCCAACACACTTGAATTGGCAGCTCCATACAGTTCCGCACGGAAAAAGAGCTGAATTGTCCCGCTGCAAGCTTCACTTTTCTCACTGGTCCAAAGCGAATCGACGTTTTGACCTTTTGGTTGTTCTATGTTGGTCCACAACAAGAGCCACTAACTCGAACGAATCGGATGTCCTTTGGACCAACCCATTCAACACCTGCTGCGAAGGGTTTTTGCCGGATGCTGTTCATGATGGTGTTGATTTGTTGGGTGAATATGTGTGGTGTTGGTGGTGTCAATCACGCTCAGATGTGTTGTGAGTTTTTTTCTGTGTTTTTGAGTATGCTTCATGGGTCATGCTGCAGTGTCACCAGATTCAGCATGTCAATCTGGGGGCTCACTTCCAACACATGTGCGCAAACAACGAGCTCACCGCAAGCCGAGGTGTGCATGGCCAGGATTGCTTTCCTAGGGCTTTTGGCAGTCAGAAAGGCAGGCGTTGCAAGTTCTGGGGTAAAACGAGCTCACCCAGGGTGATTCAGGGCACCCAAAGCGGACCTGTAGTCGACAGGTTCCAGCTGGCATCGTAGCATCCTGGAACCAATTTGTCAGAACTCGCTAAATCTAGGGTTCAGCCCCCATTACAAGCACGGCAAGGACTCAAATTGGATGATAACAATCCTGAAGGGTAAACAAAGGCGGTGACATATGAACCCAATGATTGTTTTACCGGTGGTAGCTAAACCCCAGGATTCAACGGATCACCCAGATGCACTTGCTGCACTTCTTCACGTCACCTGCCAAAGGTCTCTCAAAGCCTAGGTGGTGACGGCGGAAAAGATCAACGCCGCCGAGCGGATTGTGAATGCCCACATGGGACTGGGAGAGATGAAGCATTTCAATCGCCGCTTTGTCGAACAAGGTTTTGGGAGTTGGTACCCTGGTGTTTTGGTCGTTAAAGAAAGAAACACCTACTACGTATGCTCGGGCAACTTAAGGACTTATAAGTGGTTTATAAGTTTGATAAGTTAGTTATAAACTAGTTATAACTTGTCAACTTCAACATAACTTCGTAACTTGTCTATAACTTGAACACTTTGGCCTAGGTAAGTTACTGTGAACTTAGTAACTTCTAACTTAGTTAAGCACTTCATGCCTTGTGAAGTTACAAGAAGTTACGAAAACTTACGCGCAACTTAGGAAGTTATGGTTTACACTACATTTGTCGTCTTGGTTGCTGAATTGCATTTTGGACATGCAATTTGTTATGAAAACGCGCCAAAGCTCTTTGTCGTCAAGTGTTCTTTGGCCGCTTCTTGGCTCAACCCAAGCGGCGATTTTGAAATAGGGAGCCCAGGTTTGCAAAGTCGATGGCGTCGAAGTTACTCAAGCAGTTGAGTGCCTCGCAGAAGTTTTTGAAGGGTTTAACAACCCTTCCGAACTATGCATCTGTGCGTCAAAAGCAGCAAGATGCGGTCAGCAAAGCGCTGGCCTGCGCCACGTGCTTAGCCGTGGCTGAGGCAACCGCTTTCATGGAAGCACTCGAAGAAGGCCTCTGGGAGTCCACTTGGATGGAGGGCGTGAAGGTGCAAGTGTCTTCCATGGTGGAGCAGGATGGGGAAGGTTCGGCATCCCGCAAAGCCATGCAGGATTATCGCTGCCTGCCACGGTATCTCAGCCAAGAGCTGTGGGCAGTCTTGCTCGATGAGCAGCAAGAACGCGCGGCAGCTCTTGAGCAACTGACGCACCATTCTGCTAAGCTGGGCCTACTTAGAATGCTCGGGCAACTTAAGGACTTATAAGTTAGTTATAGAGAACTTATGAAAGTTAGCTGTAGGGAAGTTAGGCGGAACTTATAAGTTACTTATAAGTTACTTAACTTTTTTTAACTTGTTTGCTCAGCTTCTGCGCATTATCATGTTCGTTTGTGTTTTACGTGTTTTTTATAGCGCGCTTTGCATCCAATTTCTTCAGCCATGGTGGGTTCGATCACGAATTTCTTCAGCCGGCAGCGTGTCAGAGGCCGTTTTTCCTACTCGAGCAGCCAGATGTGCGTGGTGTTGCCAATGCGCTCTTCGCGCATGTGCATGGCCCGAGGCGCTGACGCTACACTTTCTATATGGACAGCGTGCAATCTAAGCGTGCTCGCGCGTGTCCATTTCGATCGTCCCGACCGGGTCGTGTTGAAATGAAGGTCTGCTGGTTCCAAGACGTGGATCAGCAGAAGGATGCGCGAGTCCACGGAGGTTACCCCGAGCACTTCAAAGGCTTCCGCAGGGGAGGGGATCAAAACATCCCCTCTTGAGATTGTGTCTGGGCCAAGAGCTCGCGGGGCCAGGGTGGCTGGAGCAGTGGCGCCCAGCGCAGTGCCGACGTCCACGTTCTCAGTCGTCCGACCGTCCAGGCGCCACAGAAGCCTCTTGGCTGGCTGCTTGGAGCGGAGTTCAGCGCTTGCTAACTCGAGCAAGCACTGCTGGGAAAAGCGTGCTAGCATTTGTTGCCTTCTTGCGACACGTTTGAAAGCGCGGTGCTTTCTCTCACAAGTGAAGCAGTCAACCAAGCGACCCCACTTCCAGCACTGCTGCTGCAGGTGCAAGGAATAATGCAGCTTGGGCCGGACCTTATCAGCGCCGTAGACAGCCGCAAAGCTTCTGATGTGCTCAGCTTGCAGCCGAGCCAGATGAGAGCCATGGGCAGTGTCGCGCTTCGTTTCGAGGACGCACAAGCACACGCGGTGCAACGCTTCAAGAGAGGAGTGCTCCCGGCGCATGTCTGCGCAGAGGCCAATGGCAATGTCTTCGCTAAACTGCACACAAATGGAAAGCACAAACAGCGCTTGGCCCGCATCTCCTCGAAAGTCGGCCCCCTCCCTCCAAAGGTGGACTGTGAACAGACTCAAGAGGTTTATGCCCCGCGCCCGCCCGACTCCATGCCAGCCTAGCTCTACGTAGCGCCGCATGTCTGTGAGGCTGAGGTTAGCCTTGCGGCGCAGGGCTGTGTACCAGTAGCCCAGCTCTTGCCCCACTATGCCGTTGGACCAAAGCGCGTGCATTGCGTCAAACGTGCAGGAATCTAGCTCGCACCATTCTTGCATGTCGGGAGCAAGAAGAAAAGAGGCAGAAGCTTCTTCCAGCTTCCAGCCCAGGAGCTTTTCGGCCTCGCCGAGGGAAGTTTTCGTAGGCATGGTTGACAGGTGGTCAATCGCAGCGCGGAGGCTGTTTTGAGTCTGTGGCACGAAGCTTGTTATGTCTGGCTCGGCCACTGTCACGTGCCATCGGACGTTGCCGTAGCCAGTGTTCATAACATTGGCACACTTCAGGCATGGCTTCATACCCGAAGATCCTTTGCAGCCAGTGGCAGCGCGCAGGCCTTCGTGGTCTGCGAGAAGAAGCACGCGGTCGAAAAACAGGAGCTCCGCCGAGCCAGAAAGCTCCACCGGGACACCGCTGACTGTCTCCGCCCGCACAGCTCGCAGTAGCGCCGCAGCGAGAGTGACCATGCCATGCCGCAAAGCACTGATTTCTGACGTCCGGCTCACGGACAAGGTGAGCCAAGTGTCCTCAAGGTAAATATGCGGCAGTTGGAGGATGGTCCAGTACGTAAGGTTGGATTTCCGAGCATTGTCGGGAGAGAGCACATTCCCAGGCGTGCATTCGTCCAGGTACACCACCAGCGTCAGCTGGTTGTCCCTTTCCTGGGCTATTGCGCGGAGGCAGTCATGGAACAGTGGACAAGCGTTGCACTTAGCCTGCAGCACGCCGGCTACAGACATGTAGCTGACTTGGACTTTGGATGCGGGATCCTTGGCCGGCAGGTCCATGACCTGAAGGTGCTCCATCACCTCGCCATGCACCTCATCACGTCGTTGCTGCACGCGTGTGCCCCGCCCATCCGCGTCCAGCACCGCAACGATCTGGCGACACTGAGCCGGGCCGATGGATGGAATCTGGCGCAGCGTGTGGAACTGGCTTGCGGCACTGGCGGTGCTGCGAGGATCACGTGGTCTTTTGGCCATAGCTTTTGAGAAACAGCAAAAAAAATCGAAAAGCAAACGCTGTATGTATAGGTTTTCGCTTTGAGGGTAGTGTGACAAGCCCAACATGCAGACACGTTCGCTTCATGACCCTAAACCCAATGGCATCCTCTGCAGCGGTTATTGCTTGAGGGGACTGAGCTATACCACAGACTGCGGCCCTTACCGAAACGCCAAAAGCGCGGCACAAAGCTGCCAGAGCTGCGATGACTTTTCTCTATATACCCAGGCTAATGCAAGTCTTGCGGCGCCGGCGCGCGTCTACACAACACGCTATCCAGGCAACACCTGCATCGGCGCAGTCACGCCACAAGACGCAGGACTAAAGCAAACGTGCTGAATTATTGCGACATGCGTTTTATAAAAGCCCCGCCTCACTTTGCGCGCCGACGCTTCGGCTGCGCCGACACGTCTGCAGGGCCATCCCCCTGCTCGGGCGCCGCCCGCTTGCGTGCCGGCGCACTGACTTTAACAGACTTGAGCACCTCTCGCGCACAAGCCAAAGCGGGCTTGAGATCATCGGCCGTGAAGGGAAGCGAGGCGAGCGCCTGTGGCTCCTGGGATGGCTTCTCCTGCTCGTGCTGTACCAGAAGATCCCGGCAGGCAGCCAGCCAGCATGTAAGCTTTGCCTTGCTGTCGGTCAACGCTTGCTCAAGACCAGACCGACTTGCGTCCGAGGGACGCTTGGCCACGCAGGCCAAAGACTTCTCCAGCGCGGCGCAAACCGGGTGGAGGCAGCTCACGGCTTTCGCAGCCAGCGCTGCGGCTTTGGTGTTTTGGCTCGCGACTTTTTTAGCCACTTGCGCCTGTCGCTTGTGCTCCGCTGTGACAGACTTCGTGCTATTGCACTCAGCCTTCGGGGGCAGAGGGAGATCGAGATCCAAGGCCTCTTCATCTGCAGGAGCTCCGCCCTTGGGCTTTTTGTTCTTTTTGGCGGTGGCTCGCTTTTCGTGTTCGAGCACAGCGCTCGTCACGTTCTGCACGGTTGTCTGTCGGCACACGGACTTCAGCATCACCGCGTACGTGTCTCCCAGGATAGGGTCCCATTCGTGTGGGGACTCTTCGATCTGCTGCGTCGTGTAGCCTTTTCTTTCCCACACAGACTTCGGCTTGAACACGCCTCCGACTGCCGTGGTGTGGCTCTCGATGATTTTGTCGCTGATTGCAGTGATCAGGCCAGCGCGAACAGTGGTCCAATTCAGCCGACCGCCGCACGCTTGGCGCTGCTCCGCCAAGTGCGCGAAGAACTTGACCGACTCCGCATCATCAACGGATGGCATGTGCTCCGGCTTTCCGTCCAGATTGCGCCGCAACATGGTTTCGACCGTGTTGCAGCTGGGGCAAAGGACGCGCCTGCCGTGATCCTTCAGCTCGCTAGCTGGCAGCTCGCGGCGGCAGAAGGTGCACGCCTTGTGGCCATCATTGACAGCTGCCATGCCGCGAAAAGCGCTAAGAAAACAAAACGGGGCCCCGCTACACCTACTGTGCCAAACAGCTATACGGAACAGCGCCGGGCAAAACACAGTGAGCTATAGCGGAAGGTGCAGGCGAACGCAACTCACACAAGATCGCAACAAATCACAGAGAAGCGAGCGGCCGCGTACAATCCGCGTACATCCGCGTACATTGGCCGGTGGCCCGCGTACATCGCGTACAAAAACAAAGTCTGCAATTCTTGCCAAGGCCAACCCACGATCCCTGTGACTGTCGCATCCGCGTACATCGCGTACATTCGCGGCCCGCCCATCCTTTCCTCCCGCGTACATTGGGCCCCAAGGATCGTCGGAGCCGCGTACATTCCGCGTACAATCCGCGTACAGCGAAATCAGACGGCCGCGCAACGCCGAACAGCACGCGCAACCGAGCCAAGA